GGGGGGGGGCAGGGAGGGGAGGAAGGGGGGAAATGGACTGTGAGGTAAAAAAAAAAAATAGACAGGATTTCATTTCACAACCACACCTACCTCCGACCGACACTACCTTTCCGTTTCCCACCCTTTCCTGAGCACCACTCTATACACACACACACACACACACACACACACACACACACACTCCATGCCCCCTGGTTCACTCACTCCCAGAAATTGGACCAGATGTCACATCAAGAGTCTTTGACCACAGCGCTGCAGCCAGATGAAGAATTTGAGAAATTCTGGAAAATATTTGTGGAGCGGCTCAGGATCGAAGAGGCCCGGGAAGGTAGAGGTTAAACCTCTCCGGCTTTAATGAGGGGCTGTGTGACTGAGTGCTGTAACGCTATAGCAGCTAATGGGGAGGCAGGAGCTGAGGTATAGACATATAGGGTAAATGCTGCAGGGCTGGTTATGACGCTGATCCCCTCGGGGCCAAAAGGTCGCACTCCTCTCTCTGCTGCTCCTAACGACCTTCCTGAAAATCCGGTCCCTGAACACCTGACTGTATCACACGTCAGACGTGAGCGCTGATGGAAAAAGACTTGGGGTCGACTTAGCTCACATTCACAGACTTATAATAATATATATGAGTGGCTGGTCGCTATAGCAACACACTGGATGTTCTGGATGATCCACGTTTATATTTAAAAAGAAAAAAGGCGTCCGCAGCTCAAACTAGGGCCCAGACAGAATGTATATGAACACAAGCAAACGCACACGATATATAATCTCCCCCTGCATTGTGCAAAACATAATGAGGGTTTAGGTGAAGCTGCTTTTAGAGCGATGGTTTCCCCACAGCGCACAAAGTGTTTTCACAATAAACATCCACTTGAATTCGCATGACAGCGAACCGTCCCGCCTGTCCGACAGCGCGTAGCCGTGTTCACGAGACGGACGCAGGGACAGGGAAGAATGAGATTCCTCAGTCTGTGGTGGAGCTTGTGTATTTATAGTGAGTGTATGGCGCTGGTGCGTGTGCTCCTTATAGCGCTGCTAAATCAGAGAGAGTGGAACCCGAGCCAAAGGGAAATCAGCAGATGATGCTTGTGCTCAGCTGCCAAAACTGAACACCGTAACTCAGCAGCTGAGAGTGTGTGTGTGTGTGTTCATATTGTTTGTTCATCACTCTGATCCTGCTGTGTTTCTGCATCATTAATCTTCAGTATCAGAGCAACATGAGGAAGGAGCCCTTCTTTAGTGTGTCCTCGTGTGTGTGTGGTTACAGACGCCTCAGACGTCCTTTATGCAAACACAGGCATCAGCCCGAGGCTGCGACTGACGACTTATAGAGGTGTCACTGAGCAGCCTGTGTGTGTGTGTGTGTGTGTGTGTGCGCACCAGCTGGCAGATAGGAACTAATTAAAGGTAACGAGATATTTATGCATTAACGAGCTGTGCAGTGTACAACACCTCTCTCTGAAACACGCACACAGAACAAAACCCATTCAACATCTCAAGCTCATTCTTCTCCACACACCCACATTCCTTGCTCCTCATTCAGGACCCTCCTGATAACCCCCTGCCCCCCCTTTTCCTGCTCTTTCTCCCTCTCTCTTTTAACCCCCCCTCCCCCCCTTTGTCCCTCCATCCACCAAACACCCCATGTGTAACCCCTCCCGAAACCACTAAAGTGGGCCAACCAATCATCACTGGGCTGCCAGATTGTGTTTAGCATGACAAAGGAGAATCTGTGTGACCACTTGTGTGTGTGTGTGTATCTGTGAGCTTTACATGCATTGTGTGTATATGTGTGTGTTTAAGCGTGTGTGTGTCCTTAGAGGAAGAGCTGACTGTAGAGCTTTTACCACTGAAGGAAGTTGTTTTATGCAGGAAACTCGCTCCACATGCACGAAGCTCATCTACATCTTTATGAGCTGATGAAACAGTGAATCTCTGACTGAGGTTCTTTAATAAGCAAACCAGTATAAACGCACTGGAAAACTGTGTGTGTGTGCGTGTGTGTGTGTGTGTGTGTGTCAGGCAGAGCTGCTGCTATGACACAGCAGAGTTAATCTGCACCATTTGTAACATCCTGGGTAATAAACTCCCGCTCCCGTGTGCCGATGTGGTGCATTTCGTTACTACTGTTGATGCTTCAGTTTCTCCACATGGAGCTATCGATGTGGCCCCCACCTGCTCCTCTAACGCCCGGTCAGCCACGGGTACCGCTTCCCCATCCCTCCCCGTTAGATCGGAGAGGCATTCCCCTGCCACAACACATGCTTAAGCAATTATTGCACGCATTCCCCTGGACAGAGAGGGAGAACGAGGGCTGAGGAGAGAGAGAGAGAGAGAGCTAGAGAGAGAAAGTAAGTTGAAGTGGAGTGATCGGGGCAGCTGGCCAGGGATTTGCAGGGTTCTGGGGGAGAATGTGTAGAAGTTAAGCACAACTCCCATAATCCTTTTCTAAAAGAGAGAAAGGAGAGACGGAGGGATTGAAAAGAGAGAGGAGAGAAAGGGGGGCCACTGGAGCTGGAAACTAAAAGGACTGGGCTACAGTGACAACAGCCAAAAAACAAACCAGCTATCAAAGCAACACACACACACACACACACACACACACACACACACATACACACACACACACATAAACACAGCACAATGCATCTGGACTGGACGCCTGCAGAATAACAAGTTAGAACTAACACACAGAAAACTCCACTTCACAAACAAGTTGCAGTTGGAGCAGATCAGAGAAGCCCCCCCCCCCCCCCCC